AAATAAATATCGCCATAAAACGAGTTCCTTAAATGTTACCACTCGGAAAGAAAAAGACCATATTATTTTTACCTTGTTTTCATTTTTCGCAATTGAAAAAAAAAAACAGGAATAATAAAGAATAATGTTTACTGGGTTATGTAGACCAACATTTCGAAGTAAATTTTTCTGATTGTTATCTCGACCTCAGTAATTGTTTGGATAGAAAACCTGTAATGTTTCTTCATATGCTGGCATTCATTTCGTTGCTGTTGTTTATTTCAATCATTCTATACAAAAGCTTTGTCATTTGTTTAGTTCAAGGATGTTTGTTCTTGCAAGCGAGCGGCTAACTCAAAAAAAGTTAGTTCTGCGCTTATACCTCATATTTGAATAGTCTGGCCATTATTTTACTAAGACGTTACTCGCATATTGAAAAGTTTTGAATACTTTTAATTTATTGTTTTGAATTTTTAGTTATTTCTTTATGCAAATATAGTCAATTCTTTAACAAAAACCAAAATACAAGTTTCAATCTTTGTGCAATATTGAGAAAAAATCAACAAATTTTCGCAAAAATTTCGAGCTTTTTGATTGGATTTCTTAGAAATATTTTGTTTTGAAGTTCGTTCGATTTTGGTATAACAAAGTGCAAGTTTGAAGTACTAGAACAAACTGTTGATATTTGCAAACTTTTTTTTGTTGAAGGCGTCCTTTTCTTCCATAGGAAGTATGTTCGACGATCTTTTATTTTTTTTTATGTAGAAAATGATCAACAGCTTCAGCCGAAAAAATCCCAAAAATCAAACTTGCATACTCACAACATTTCCAAGGAATGTAATTAAAAAGCTCGTAATCTTTACAAAAGGGAAAGGCGGCAGGATTACAACTCAAATCCAAAAAAAGTCAGAAAATTGCAGAAAAGTATTAAAAAATTTATTAAATTAAGACCAGACATGAATTTTTACCCATTCTTGGCATGAATCACGTAACTTTGAAACGATAGTTATTCAAACGATATTGACAAAACGATGTCGTCAAAACACTGATTCATGTATTTGTGTTGCTGTTACGTGTTACTGTTACTCTTACGTAAAGCGAAATTGGAATCGAGCTGATGATATCGCAAAAACGATCAAACAATTTTTGGTTTTCAGAAAGCAAGACAATCTCAACACGATATCGTCCAGACGGTTGTAGTCATACGTGATTCATGCCCTTATTTGTTTTACTGCTGGTCTAAAAAAAT